ACAGAGTTTCTGATTGGTATAACGGTGGAGGGCGGAACATAGAAATGAAAACAATAACAAGATTCAGGGACAGTAAATCTAATTTTGAAATTCAAATATTGCGGCTGAACTAATGCTATCAGTTAAAGAAGTATTCGAAAAGAGCATGGTTTATCAACGCCTTTTGACATATAAGGGCCATTTAATGACGGCTTGATATGAAAATCTTACATATTGATACTTAAACTTTTGGTTGGTGGTAATCAGAGGGGCCGATGACACATACTGGTTGCCTCGCTTCTGTCAGTGTGCCCCAGGGCAGCTGTGGCTACAGTAGTAGTTTATCACCACTGTGTATGGAGTGAATGAATGATGACATGTAAAGCGTCTTTGAGTGTCCAAAAAAGCGCTATATAAAATCAATGCATTATTATTATTATTATTACGATCAATGGTCTATTTTTCCATAGATGCCACAGTTCTTAAGAATTACCGGCCCATTTCAAATCTGCCGTTTATGGGAAAAATTCTGGAAAAAGTTGCTTACCAACAACTTACAGAATTCTTAGTAACCAATAATTCCTTTGATGCGCTCCAGTCCGGCTTTAGAGCCAATCACAGCACTGAGACTGCACTAGTGAAGGTTACAAATGACATCCGACTTAACACCGACACAGGAAAAGTCACAGTTTTAGTAATGCTGGATCTGAGTGCTGCGTTCGACACAGTCGACCATGAGATCCTCATGTAGAGACTAGAGCACTGGGTGGGTGTCACTGGGACTGCCCTAAGTTGGTTTAGGTCTTACCTAGAAGACAGGAAATACTTGGTTCAGATAGGAAACTGTGTCTCAGATCATATGGCTCTGACCTGCGGAGTGCCACAGGGGTCAATTCTGGGGCCTCTTCTGTTCAATATTTACATGCTGCCATTAGGTCAAGTAATACGCTCCAACAATGTATCCTACCACAATTACGCTGATGACACTCAAATTTATGTCTCACTTACTGCAGGAGAACATGGACCAGTGGACTCACTCATACACTGTATTCAACAGATTAGTGATTGGATGCAAAATAACTTCCTTCAGCTAAACCCATAACAAAACAGAATTGATTGTCTTTGGTCCTCAGAAACAAAGAGAGAGCGTTATTCGTCACCTCCAGTCTCTCTCCCTGGAACCAGTAGGCAAGGTCAGAGACCTAGGAGTTATAATGGACTCAGACTTAAATTTTAACAGTCATATCAAATCAGTAACATCAGCAGCATTTTACCATCTGAAAAACATTGCCAAAATTAGAAACATAGTGTCTAAATCAGATCTGGAGATTCTCATCCATGCATTTGTCTCCAGTAGGTTAGACTACTGCAATGGCCTGCTCACAGGCTGTAAAACAACTGCAGTATGTCCAAAATGCTGCAGCTCGAGTCCTGACCAGGACCAGGAAATATGACCACATTAGTCCAGTCCTCAGGTCTCTGCACTGGCTTCCTGTGGCTCAGAGAATAGACTTCAAAGCAGCACTGCTTGTGTACAAGTCTCTCCATGGCCTCGCACCAAAGTACTTAAGCGACTTGTTAGTGCCATATGAACCGGCCCGGACTCTGAGGAGCACAGGAGGTAGCCTCTTACTGGTTCCAAGAGTCAGAACTAAACATGGGGAGGCAGCGTTTGAGATTTATGCAGCTAAAATCTGGAACAATCTTCCTGAAGATGTGAGGCTAGCATCTACTCTGGAAATTTTCAAATCAGGGTTAAAAACTGTTCTTTTTAGCTGTGCTGAAGGATTTTATTGATACATACTCTTTTTTAATGCATTGTGGTTATTTATTATTTTAATCCCGTGTGTGCTTTTAATGTTTTAAGGTTTTTTCATTACTTGTGATTTTTATTCTGTTTTTAATGTATTTATTGTTTGTATACGTAGTTTTTGATGTTTCTGATTTGTCTGATATTATGTGGGTTGTGAGGCGCTTTGAGTGGCCTTGTGTTGGAAAGGCGCCATACAAATAAAGTTGATTGATTGATTGATAACCAGCTTTGATATAATCACAATCAACAAAACACCAAACTGCTTGTTAGTGGGACTCTGAGAAGAGAAGTTTAAACAACAAATCGATCAGAATTCCCAAAGCGAAAGATCACTTTATCATTGAGCGGTGTATTTTAAAACCGCTGTGTTTACATTGTACTGTCCTGACCGCCCCTGGCCCATTCCTCCCATTCCAGAGGGACATTCCTGCCTCTCTCCCCCTCGGAGATCAGGGTGCTCCACGATCAGTCCGACCCTCACACTCACTCAATTAAAATGTCACTGTATGCTTCACTTGTTTAACTTAAAATACAGTATGTGTCTTAAAGCTGGGGTACCTAACTTTCCTTCCACATAAATTATGCATGTCTGTAAACATGTATAATTTACAAACTGCATAATGCTCGCACTAGAATACGCAGTACTTTAAACTTGCTTCTTATCATGCCAAATTTGGAGGTTTCATACTTCTTTATTATGTTAAAGATAGAGATTTTTTCTTTGATGCCAGAGTCAGAGATTTTATTTTATTTCAATTAGTATATTTATTGTTCATTTATCTTGGGCTGCGTGCTCTTCATTCCTACATTTCTGTAACTGGTGATGCAACACTGAAATCTCCCAACTGTGGGACAAATAAAGGATCTCTTAATCTCATGTTTGTCCCAACAGAAAAAAGTCTTGTAAAAGTAAAGTAAAAATCCAACTATCACATGCTATCTTCATGTACCCTTTTCGAAATAGGTGTTAGTTAAAATGAAATATGTAAAAATAAGTATTGTGGAGGTTTGAAAAAAAATCTTATTTGAAAACATTTGTGAGAAAGAGCCCTGTGAGTCACTATTTGACGCTTTGGGCTGAGAGCTGAAGTTTTTTTTTTTCCACATTTCTGCTTGAAAGATTTGATCTAAAGATGTGACCGAGGCCAAAACGACATACATGTCCTAGTTTTGAGAGTTACATGGATGTTATTACATAGTTACAATTATATGGTTGGAAAGTTAGGTACCCAAGCTTTAATTCATGAAGCAGTGACCCATGAAGATGAAAAGATAAACTTAATGGTGTAACAACTATTTATTTCTTTTTTACAACATGCATATCAAATGAATTGATGCGCAAATGTCACGCACTAGCAGTAGTAAAATCAAATGCCTCTTGGTAATTTGTGCTGTATTGAGAACTTATTCCATTTCATCCAGACAGACAGACTAATTAGCACAAACAGTGGTCTCACAATAGTCTTTTCACACGGTTAATCCAATCCAATTTATGAATATAGCAAATTCTGTAAAACAAGTTTCCAATGTGCTGCAAAGACATCATATTAACACATTTAAATATACAGCTTTGAGTGTAAAAAAAAACCCATAAAAATGTAATAAAACCAATAAAATGCCAGTTATCCAATAAAAAAATAAAATAAAAAAAGTGACATGCCTTAATGACACCAAAATTGAGATGTTTTCCATAATAAATCATGTCAGAATACAGGAACGTCCCACTAATAAGCACAGTCGGATTCCCCATCTGAGCAAGCAAGCAATTTTCTGTGCCCATTCCTTTTTGCAAGCTCATTAAATCATCCATCAAAAACAACCAAAAAAACAGCTTGCCCGAGCACAGATGACAACAGTGCCTCATCTCTCCTCTCATCTATAATAAAACACAGTCAAGTCTGAGTGACATTAGCAGGTGAATCACATACGCAGCCATATAGATTCTCAAGAGTCTCAAAAGACTTTCCCCACATACTAAAACGCACAGAGATCTGCTTTATACGTCCACACGCGGGAAGGACTGGTCTACACAGAAGGCAAGTATTAAATCTCGCCCACAAGACGCACTATACTCCAAATATGTACTTACAAATTAATTCTCACCAGGAGTCACAGAATTTGCAAGTTTCAGTGCGCTCTTCTTCCAAGACTGTAAAATCCATTGGTTAGACATGCCATTGCAAGGAATCCGAACGAAGGCACGGCAAGCATAGAGCGGATTTATATAGAGTGGTCTGCGTCTATGTGTGTGTTCATATGAGGTGAAGCGAGGGGCTGGAGGGAGAGGAGAGAAAGGCAAGAGACATACGAGAGTACAAGCTGAGTGGCTGCAGAGAAAATGGGAGGGGGCTGCTTCCACCAATGAGGACAGAGAGGTGCAGAGATGGCAACAAAGAGTGAGTTTTTTGTGTGTATGTGTGTGTAATTTCTGCCTCGACTCTGTTTTGTCTTGTTTTCGTCTAAGGCAACACCTGTAAGACAACTGTATGTCGACTATTGAATAAGGGCCTAAATGATGACAGGCAATAACAGTGAAAAAACTGGGCATGACGGAAACTTACTGTGATTTCTGCAACTGCTCATTAATGTTTTGAGTTTGGTAAAAAAAAAAAAAAAAAAAAAAAGAGCATGTGGTATTATGCTAAATCAATTACATTAAGCTTTTAATGTCACCAGTTTCCCTCCCTGTATGCGTTTCCTTCATGTTTGAGGTAATCTTTTTTGCCTCGCATTTCAAATTTGAGTGGTTTAACAATTCCTGTATCTACCACCAATGGCTGCCCATCTCCACCCTTCTGTTTAAATGTGATTCATTTAAAAGAGAAGACTCATAAGTGTAGGGTGTGGAGCACATAATTTGAGTAGATGATAGTGATTGTAATGTATGCAGTTTTTAATAGGAAATCAAGATTATCATTATTTGTTTTATCGTGGCTCTTTAGGTCAATATTGTTTACTCGGGACAAAAGGTAAAACTAGGCTCTATGCATATTGGTCAATCCAGTTTTATTATATGTTATTCTTTAGGATTTTATGTATTAGTCTATTTATTTTCTGTTTTGTCGGCAACTGGTGATCATCCCTGCATGATAAATAAAGCATCTATCCATCCATCTATCTATCTATCCATCACTCCAGCATTATCTCCTTGAGGCTCCAAATATATACAAGTGCATCTGGAGACTAGCGGCTTGAGCAAAAAGGGCATTTAGGGAGACAGAGACCTCCATGGTTCGCAGTCCTCCTGGTGCGTGAGCGTCACTGTGCGTATGATGGGGGTGGGGACCAGACTCTTTGCAGGATTTTGCTGCGGGAGCACCATGTTGCCATGGAGACTGCCTCCAGTGCAGCAGAGCTCGCAGATGGCCGTTCTCTCTCTGAGTAAAACAGCTCATGCTCAGCCTTGACCTGCTGCATTCAGACTGGGGCCTGTGAAGATGTGCCAGACAAAGCACAACATTTATGGGTTTTGAAGTGAAGGCGAGTGTATTCTGTCAGACTCATTTATAGATTCAATCAATGTTCACATGCCACACTGAAGTCAGGTGATCTTGTAAGACGTGCCGAAAGGTTGAGTTATGTTTTGTAAATACGGACATAACCTGCACTATCAATCAAGATGTTTATTTCAAAACCTGTACAAACACAACTTGACACAACAAAGAAACAGACATAATCACATGAAAGCTCTCAAAAAGGGTTGGATGAAGCAGATCAATCTCCAAAAATCCTCAACTAACAAAACCTTTGACTGTTAAGTAATAGGAAAGTGAATTTTGTTATAGTAGTCCAGAATAATTTAACTTTAAAGCTGGGGAACTTAACTTTCCTAACCACAAGAATGGGGTAAAATGTATAGACTTTTAAATTACATTTATGGACATTACTCATCCCACGCCCTATTTCCTGTGTTTGAGCTGTTGTGATCCTCTTTGTGTTGGCCAATCGAATTCATACTAGTTCCATGGTCTCAAACTATTTAATTGTAAATGCGTGTATTTGATTATTCATTTTTATTATATATATTTGATGGCCTCTGAAATATTTTAAGATCAGCTTTTTGAGACAGAAAAGCGTAAACTGATGACCACTCTAACTCAGCCAATCATCTTTCAGTTAAATACCTCCACAAGAGTCTTTTTTACAAGTATGAAAAATATAAAATGCAGCATTGTGCGCTTTTCAGACCACAACATGTTTTGGTTGGGGGAAAAAAAAAACTATTTTCGATTTTTAAAAGTTATGTTTCCCAGCTTTAATGGTTGATGCAAGCAAAACAAACATGTATGGCTCTTGGTAAATGCCTCCACAGCAGTACAAACTTACCCCTCCATTGCGCCTTATCTGTCCGCCGCTCACAGGTCACGATTGGCGGGTCTGGTCTGGTCTTCTCACTGCTTGAATCCTTTGAATCAAAACATTGAAATAATTGTCAGACTACAGCTACACTTGAATTAGACATGTACAGATTAGTATGAACTAAGTGAATTAGCCAACACCAGAAGAAGAAAGTGAAAATTAACTTGTCACGTCGTCATCCGAGGGACTACTTTACCTTGTGTAATAGCGCCCCCTATTGGGTTTGATAATGAAACGTACGCATGTTCTTGTTTTATAATTATTTCTAAACATGGCAGATATCTACAGATGTATGAGACAGCAATTGTATGCAGTCATGTAAATATATATCACACACATATCAATGCATCAAATAAAGAGGCTATCTGCTATCATTCATCTATGCCAGTTTTTTTATTGGTTTTTCTAGGCAGATGTAAGACCTCGTGGCGCAACGGTAGCGCGTCTGACTCCAGATCAGAAGGTTGCGTGTTCAAATCACGTCGGGGTCATTCGTTTACTCGATTTACAAAAATATGAATTATATTGTCGACAAACTGTTTAGAATACACATAATTATTGTGGTACATCTGATTCCCATGACCGAACTGTCTGTACTAATAAAATTGATATTTGACTGATACAGTACACATCCATGATCATCCAAAGATGTTTTAATGTTACATATATAATATGAAGACAGTGTGGCACAATCTCTTATAGTTACACATAATAGATGTAATTGGGCCATATTTTGACATAACAAAATTTACTGCACAAACTTAAATGCTGCAGACAACAATACTGCAATTTCAGGAGGCAAAAGCAAAAATGTGTTCTTGGGGACAAAAAAGTTTACCTCACCTTCAAAGTGTTACCTATACTGAAAAGTAAAGTTTCTTGAACAAAAAACAATTATCTTTGTGCTACCCTCCTGTCAAATACACACCACAGAGATGTACACCCTAAGTGAGGGTCTAAAAGGGTGTAAATGACCTAGGGCTTGTCAAGTTCAGAAAAATAATAATCATCACTGTGGCAGGCATTTCATACATGTGCAACTCCTGGCAACGAATATGGCAACTTTCTGTTTTTTTCCATGAGACATTGGGGAAACGTTCTCCTTCAGCTTTGAGATTCAAACATCATTTGCAAAGGTAAACAGCCCACTTTAATACATTGTGTAAGAAGTAAAGATATTTAGGTTTAAGAATGAAAACATTACCTCTGGCCTCACTCCTTGCAAAAGTCTGCAGCACTGACTGTTCCTTCTCCCCAGAAACCTTTGTGCCCAAAAGCAGCGGCACAATGAGACTTGGACTATCCCCTTCCTCTGACATGGATCCAAGTTTCCCTGGCTCATCTCATCCTGTATTCAGAGCGCTGCATCTCATCTTTCACTTGCGGACACACACACACACACACACACACACACACACACACACACACAAGGTGGTGGGTGAGGGTGACTGTGCGCAGGTCAGAGGAGCCTTGAGGAGGCGACTCACATGAGAAGCTCCAAACACAACTTTACAAAGAAACAATTGTTCTAAAGAAGTGCCATTTCCATTAAACAAGACAGTCATGGCAGAAGCTTATGTTTCGAACAATGCAGTTCTTACATACAGCAGGGAAGCAAATGTCTTCACATATTTTCTCATTATTGAGCTACATAATCTTAAAGTAAGGGCATGTACAATATATGAAAACCTTGAGCAGTGAAGGCTATGCCTTTAGAGCGCTGTGCAAAAGGGTAAACAAAACACTGCCAACACATCCTGTTGCCCAAGTAACTCAATGAATGTCCCTTTCTGTCCGAATAATTCAATTCAGATGAATTAATCAGACGCAGACCTTTGTTGACTACTGCAAAAATGTGTGTACAACCCAACCTTGTCAACATCTATAATTACAGTACTTTTCACAATGTCTTACCAGCCAGTCCAAAGATTCTTATAACGTGAAAAAAAAAGTTTGTCTCATTGCTATTGTAACGCCGTTACAATACCAATGAGTTTTAGAAGATTCATTTAGTGCTGTTAGTATTAGATAGCAATATGGCCTACGTGCAGGACTGTACAAGGACTCTACAAGGACTCCATGTTATGACTATGATGTGACTGTCTCTTTGTGACACGTATGTCTTTCGATGTGTGACGTGACAATGACTATATAAACTGTGTACTGCCTTTATTCTGTCTGAGAGAAAGAAACAGAGTAAACCAGTGGAACTTGAGAGAAACTTAAATAAACTTCCAGAGTTTGGCACACCACGATCCGTCTCTGTCTGCCTAATCCTAACAGATTTGGTGGAGAATGCGCGGCTCGGTTTGTGCCATTCTCTGGATTGTTTTGGGGGAGTTTGCTCTGTTTCTTTTCCTCTGCGTGAGAGATCGGCATGCTGTGTCTGGGAGCGGAGATTCCAGCAGGCTGGAAGAGCTGTTCCTGGATGCTTCTTGTCGCTTCTGTCACTTTTGTTTTTTAAATTGAATATTCCGACGCGGAAAAGAGGTTGGCAGACCTCTCGGACAGTCCTTGGAACCGGTTTGACAAGAATAAGGTAAGCAGACACCTTTTTATATGTAAAGTCTGCATAATTGGATATTAGCTAAATTTTGGTCTGTTTTTGGGGTCTGTCAAACTCTCTAAATTGTATTTGAGAAGAAGTCTCGGGGTTAGAGTCCCTTTGAGAAGAAGCTTCAGGGTTCGAGTCCCTTTGAGAAAACGTTTTCGGGGTTAAAGTCCCTTTGAGAAAAGCCTTGGGGTTAAAGTCCCTTTGAGAAGAAGCTTCAGGGTTAAAGTCCCTTTGAGAGAAACCATGGTGTAAAAATAAAAAATAAATAAAAAGGGAGGAAAAACGAGTGCAGAGACCTTTGTTGCAAAATTCTTGAAATTGGCCAATTTCAAGTTTAATGAGTGACAAAAGTTGAAGCAATAACATCTGTTATATTTCAGTGATCACGGTTTAAATTACATACAGAAAAAGGGAGTTTTTGTTTTTGGCGTGAACAGAGTTCACCGGAGAATGCAGAGTTTTATCTAAAGTTGAGCTATGAGAGCTTTCGTGAGTTATTTACATTTTTTGCCGAGTTATATCTACAGTTAAGCTATGAGAGGGTTGTATCCAACAGGTTGTTTTTGTTTTTTAGAAAGAGATTTTGAGTTTAAACTAGTTTGCTACCTCGATAAAATAGAAGCGTACGTTAAAGTAAGAGTGCCTTTTGTTACTAGTGTGGAAAGTGATCACTTCTAGACTTGGATGACAAAAGTATAAAGAACATCAGTTATATTCGCTTAACAAAGTAATCTTGAAAGTTATTCTTCTTTCTGTTTTTGCATTTTTGCTAAAACACTACTTTCTGCTTGTGTGTGTGCGCCGCTCTATCTTGCTGCCGTTGTCAGGGAAACGGCCCCCTCCTTCGCTGCTCTGGCTCTGAATCAGAGCAAAGCTACTGCTTTTAGGATTTAGGCTTTTCATAGTTGTTATTCAGTTAAATTTGCGAAATTTGCAATTGAACCTTGTGTTATGACATAGTTAAACGTTTTTAAACACCATTTAGTAAATATAAGTTTTGAATTAGTATGTTTTTGAAACCCAAAGATTAGTACAAAAAGCTTTGCTTTTCTTTTTAAATCTGCTGCTTATTTTGTGAGTTCATTATTGTATCTCTGATATATTTCATAGCTGTTAGTGAGAATTTTTTCATGTATGTTTTTATTTTAGTTACAAAAGCCATTTTTAAAACATTTAAATTAGAATCTGAGTTAAAAGTGATTATTGATTATAGACTTCGTCTAAAAAGAAAGAGGGAATTAGGCTGTAAAAGTATTATATTATTAAGTTAAACTACCCAATTCACATTCAAGTGGTGATGTTTTTGTTTTGACTACACGCCTGACCTTACTGTTGCTGATGCCACAGCAGAGGAGCCTGGTCTAAAATGTGCTCCAATTCATACTGACTTCATTTGAAAAATGCTGCAATTATTTTAAATTAGTAAAATATATGCTGAGATAAATGCATTGATAATTAAACACAGTACAAAAGTACATAATACATATTTTAAAGGTTGAAGGTTTAAGAGATTTGAGTCTTGTTTTTTATATTGAGAGTTTCTGGTCTTAAAAATGTCATCATTAGTAAGATAATAAGTAATCTTTTATTTACATAGCGCATGTTGGAAACCCAGAGCGCTCCAAAATTGTTTTGACTTTAGGGAGAAAAACAATCTCATTCACAATCTCTGTTGTTTTTAATTTGACTATAAGGTTGTGTTCCAGAACCAAGGGCACACACTGTACAGGGCCACTGGACAGCAGGACTGGACACTGAGGGATCAGAACAGTGGCCCAGAGTAGACACCATCCAACCAGCCGCAGATCGTAAAGGCGACATAGCTACCTCCGTGTGCCCCTCCCCCACTACAGACCGATGGTCGTAGGCAGTGATGGGAATAACGGCGTTACTAGTAACGGCGTTACTAACGCCGTTACTTTTTTCAGTAACGAGTAATCTAACTAATTACTTTGACAGTAACTATAACGCCGTTATCATTTCCGACATCCCGTTACTGCGCGTTACTCAAGACGCACAATGAACGTGTTGTCATGAGAGAAGGGAGGATGAGAAAACCTCTCAGCAATTATTGGCTGATGTAAATCATATTTCCTGTACAATCTACATGTCTACAGTTGAGAGGATGGCTCATAAATTGTGTTTTTGAAAGAAATATGGGTCTTAATCGCGCTCAACCACGGCTTGTATCACCGTGAGGCCAGCCTCAGAGGAGCGCATGTGAGCGCAGAAGTCGGCTGCATACAATTCCATCGATAAGCTCCTTTCTCTTCCTGGTTTATCTGCTAAGGACAGCAACAGGTTTGGCTAACATACATATAACACATTTTTACATAATCTAAAATGCACATAGGGTAATTTTTCAATTACTATAGGAATGATAAGAAAGAGAGGTGAAGTGTAAGACGGTTGATTTTAGAAATTGGATGCAGCCGGCTGCAGCAAAACAGAGGAGTTTACGGAGGACACACGCGTTTTGTTTTACTTTTTAAAACTCATTGGACTCATTTCCAAACGGAGGATTACATATCTACGCTCAAACCATTCACTGGATTTAAACAAGGAACTGGTCTGAACCGAAGTGGACTGTGCAGGTCATTTATAAGGTATAGCTATAAGGTAAGACCTATAACTCATAGTTTTGCGTTTTGTATGAACAAACAATGCGGGCATAAAACATATTTTGCTGTAGCCAAACAAATTGTCCACTTGATTTATATGATGTATATGTTCATCTGATTGGACTGAAGTCAGTGCTTCACCAGCCTCACCGCTCGTCACCGGTGTTTAGTGCTTTACAGCACAGAGAGAGATGAAGAGTGAACAGGACTTCAGCAGCAAAACAGCCTTTTCTGGATGGAAATATTGGCACTATTAAAGGTAAAAATGCGCACGTCGGGTGCACATTATGTTCCAGAACAAAACGAAAAAGTAACGCAATAGTTACTTTTACTGGTAACTAGTTACTTTTATAGTGGAGTAACTCCGTTAGTAACTCAGTTACTTTTTGGGAGAAGTAACTAGTAACTATAACTAATTACTTTTTCAAAGTAACGTGCCCAACACTGGTCGTAGGTGGCAGTGAGACCGGGGCCACAAAGTGAGGTTTTCTGTAGGCAGTGGTGGGTGAGTTGTTTTGCAATCTGGAAGTGTGCCCACTTTGCTTGTTTACATCACCACAGTGTGACCTTTGAGACCTGCAGGTGGTTCGAGGAGTCTGGAGACACAACCCCAAAATCCACACACTACATACACACACATACATACACACATACACTCACACATTCACATTTACATATAGATACATGAAAAAGCAGAACATGAGAAAAAGCATTTTAAAAGTTTACTCCAATGTAAACAAATATTTTTAATTGTCTATCACTTGAATCTTTAGTTGAATCAGTATTTTTTGAGACCAGAAATGTTCATTTGAATTCTATATTGTCATGGACATAATTGACCTCTGTCCTGACACTTTTGATTTGTTGATTTTGTACTGTGTGAAGTAATTACATTGATTAGAATTAGATATGATAAAAACACAAATTAGAGAAGTAAACTGCGCTTGCTTTTGTCTGAGGGACATTAGCAACAGCATGAATAGATATTGTGTTAAAGTAGAATCAAAGTGATTAACCATAGAGAGTAACTACTGCATAACAAGCTGTGTACAGGAACTGAGACACTGCACCATTGACCAGAAGTGCATCGCAAATGACCTGATGTGCTTCAAGTGAAAAGACTGTATCTGGAGATCCGATGTGCATCTGGAGAGACCAAAACCATGGCTTGGACCCTACTGATGTCCAAGATGACATCTCTCGAAATATGACCTGACCTGATGACGACTGAGACTCACCCTCAGAGGACCCTGAGGACCTGAGGATCTGAGGACCTGAGGACCTGAGGATCTGAGGATCTGAGGACCTGAGGATCTGAGAGAGAAAAACCTGGGGAGTGATTGTTTATATTTTTGAAATCATACATTGATGAGTGCTAAATGAGAGAGATACTCATGATTCTTTCTTTTGTTTTTGTTTGTCCCTAGCTTCTGGACATCTGATGATCTATTGGACACAGCGATTTGCAGAACAAGAACCAGCCAATGAAAAACCGTCTATTGCCGATGCTATTGCCATTAGGTCAGTTAATTCAAAGTATGAAAGTGTCCTACCACAATTACGCTGATGACACTCAGATCTATGTCTCACTGACTGCAGGAGAGCATGGGCCGGTGGACTCACTCCTTCGCTGTATCCAGCGGATCAGTGAGTGGATGCAATGCAATTTTCTCCAGCTAAATGCGGACAAAACCGAAATGATTGTCTTTGGTCCCGAGAAACAAAGAGAGACCGTCATTTGTCACCTTCAGTCTCTCTCCCTAAGGCCCTTAAATAAGGTCAGAAATCTGGGAGTAATAATGGACTCTGACTTAAACTTCAATAGCCACATTGGATCGGTAACATCAGCAGCTTTTTATCATCTGAAAAATATTGCCAAAATTAAAAATATTGTGTCCAGGGCAGACTTGGAGATTCTTATCCATTCTTTTGTTTCCAGTAGGCTGGATTACTGCAATGGCCTGCTCACAGGTATCTCCAAACATGCAGTAAGACAGTTGCAGTATATTCAAAATGCTGCAGCCCGAGTCCTGACTAGAACCAGGAAGTACGACCACATTAGTCCGGTCCTCAGGTCTCTGCACTGGCTTCCCGTGGCCCAGAGGATAGACTTTAAAGCAGCTCTCCTGGTGTACAAGTCTCTCCATGGCCTTGCACCAAAGTACATCCATGATATGCTAGTCTCATATGAACCAGCCCGGACTCTGAGGAGCGCAGGGACGGGACTCCTGTTAGTGCCCAGAGTCAGGACTAGACAGGGGGAGGCTGCTTTTCAGATTTATGCAGCTGGAGTCTGGAACGGTCTTCCTGAGGATGTGAGACTGGCTGCCTCTCTGTCAATGTTCAAATCCATGTTAAAGACTTTTCTTTTTTCCCGTGCATACAACTAGAGAATTTTATCTTTTTAACACACCTTGTTATTTATTGTTGTAACTTTTTGTGTTTTTAACTATTTTATTGTTTTTAATTACTTGTGTGATTTTTATGTTTTTAAATTACTTATGTGATTTTAATGCTTTTTAATTACATATGTGTTTTTAATTGTATTTTAATGGTGATGATTTGTGCATTGTGTGGTGTGGACTGTGAGGCGCTTTGTGTTGCCCTGTGCAGGAAAAGCGCCCTATAAATAAAGATTGATTGATTGATTGATATTGCTACAACCACAACTGTGACCAAATGCAATATACATGTTAAGTATTCAGACATCTGACAGACAAAACTTTGACTTTTTTAGTCTGGGAGACTGAGCAACTGTTAAAATGTGTTGAAGTGATAAAGTATGAGTATTGTAGCGTTTTAGTAGATGTTAAATAGTAGTAAAAAAGTAGAATTTGATTTCCTTTGTTTTTCAATTCCCACCTCTGCACCTTCTCCACCGACTCCCACTGATGACTGCTGTCGTTGTGTCCTTGGGCAAGACACTTAACCCCACTTTGCCCAAAAAGCCCCCACTGAAAGATCAAGGCTATGCTCACACTCAGAGCAGCCGTCCTCCTGTGGACTCACCACCTGCAGAGGGTCAGTGAGGGGCTGGTGCTATGAGACTTGGGTGGCATCTCCGACTGCCACCCCCCTGACCCAGAAATGGATTAAAGGGTAGAAAATGGATGGAAATGGACATTTCCACATAAGAGTTAAAATAGTACCCTACAATGTTATCCTTTTGATAGAGCAGATAAAATATTAGAATCAGAGTTATTTTACAGCCATTAAAAGTGACAGAAGTCACAGATTAGAAATATGCCTTGACTCAAGCTGCAGCCGAGCTTTGGAGTCACAATAGAGTAAAAATAGAGAAATAGATAAACGCATCAACCATAGATGCTTTCAAAAATAGAGATTATTTCTAGCCAGTGCTAATATCAAATGGTAAAGGGACCATTTCACAAACATTTACTTCAGAAGTAGATAAAGTTAATTACAGTTTATGTACAGTTTTATTAGATACTTGCCAAATTCACTTGTGTTCAAACATCTGTGAATGTTGACAATACAAAAATTCCACATGAGTGTAGCTTAGATTAATGAGATAGATTAGAACCAACAGAGATTCAAAAGCATCTTTGAGAAGTTAAAAGCTGTCGATTCGCCAGCACAGATTAGAGAATCAAACACCATTGACCCCAACTGACCCCAACCCCAAACCTGCTCAAATAGATTAGCTCTTGTAAGGATTATACTAATTTGATTAAAGATGTACATTCATCCCAAACTGCTTGAGAGGAGGAAGTGACAGCACTTCCTGGTTCAACAAATATTTGGAAAACTGACCGCCATAATAATGTTCATATTAACCATTTGTCTTACTGTGTTCAGTTTTATTCCTGAGAATGAGAATAGACATGGAGCAAAATCCCACTGATAATAAGCCACCGATAATGAGAGTATAAAACCACAGAGAGATTTATTAGATTAAAATATATGTTTAAGAATATGGCTCAATAGAAGCAAATATGCAAACATATTTGTAAATAGATTAGAATAGTTTTAAACTATAGTGAATAGTAAAAGTAAAGTACACAGTCTAAGATTGAAAAGTGAAAATAATACAGTGAAATAAGTGAAGTGTAAACAATTATCATTAGAATAAAAGTATAAAGTAAGAAAAGTGAAATTAGCTTCAAATTTGAGACTCAGCTCGTTTTTGTCTGTGTTTTGACTGAATCTGCTGAGTTCTTGTGTGTCCAATAGTGTTTGTTTTTATTTTTGATTTGTTTTTTGTTTATTTACTTTATTTTTGTTTGTTTTTTCCCCAGGATAGAGGATAAAATCCACTGATATTGATTTGATGATTATGAGTTTAATGCATACATTTTCTTTGGTTTTTAATAATTTTTTAAAGTATTTTTTGGAATTTTTTTTTTTTTCTTTTTCCACTTTATTGATTGATCAAATTGAATGATCACATGTGATTATGTGATCAAAGGGAGGGTGTTAGTATTAGATAGCAATATGGCCTACGTGCAGGACTGTACAAGGACTCTACAAGGACTCCATGTTATGACTATGATGTGACTGTCTCTTTGTGAGACGTATGTCTTTCCATGTGTGACGTGACAATGACTATATAAACTGTGTACTGCCTTTATTCTGTCTGAGAGAAAGAAACAGTAAACCAGTGGAACTTGAGAGAAACTTAAATAAACTTCCAGAGTTTGGCACACCACGATCCGTCTCTGCTAAATCCTAACAGTGCCTTAGGGCAAACGCTTTACAAGTTGAGTGAAATTACAGATGAAGAGGTGACCATTTGAGTGACGAAGAGGAGCATTACAAGCTTTAAAATAAATGACATAAATGAAGTACAACTCAAATAAAAAGTACCAAAAATAGTTTAATTCATGCACAAAGATAAAAGACAAGAGCACAAATTAGAAAAGGCACACCTTCATTCATAAAAGCAAATCCTCAGTTACCTTGTCTGCTGAAGGGTGATGAGGAACTCATAAATACATAATATGACTAAAAATGATCAACAACATGATTTTACAATACTTGGTTCTTCAGTTTCTCCAAGTTTGTTGTTTCGACTGCCGATTCGTTTGAAAAAAGATTTAATGGCCTGGTTCTCAAAGGGCCTGGTCGCTTTACCGGCTCCCTCGTCTTTCAGCGCGTCGCTCCTCGATCCGGACGAGTAGGATCTTTGCGAGAAACTTTTCTGGAAGAAGTCCCCGAACCAAAACGCAGACTTCCTCGCCTCGTCCACAGACACAGATCGGTGAAGTGGCCCATGAGAAATTGATTTTATATTCACAGGGGTGCTGGAAATTGACGCGGTCAGGCTTTCCTCAAAAGTAGAATCAGGGACTAGGGTCACTTCAACACTCTCCCAAATACAATCGTCAGGGTCGTGCGAGATCTGTTTCTTTGGATCTGCAGTGTTCCGTGGGGGATTTTTCATGGGGCTCAGTATTGTCCAAGGCGAGCCCCCACTTTCACGGTTGTCGTGAAAGTATTCGTTGTTCTTAGGAGTCTTGGGAGCGCAAGAGTGTTCCTTTGTCCGCCTTGGAGTACCGGCCGCTTCGTCCAGACTGTGCATGCCGTTCTGACGTTGCAACACTTTACGCTTGGTCTCGCGCGTGTTCTCGTTGTTCTTACAGGTCTTACAGTTGCTTCCCTCGCTCAGCAGGCTTTGCTTGTCCTTGAGTGAGGTTTGAGGACTGGACTTTGCTTTGACGGACTGGGAGCGAGAAGCCGATCTGGGGTGGAGGCTCCTCTTGGGTCTGGAGACACTTCCCGGGACGTTGGAGAGGAAGGTTTGCAGCACAGACTCCAGGCCCGAGGGGTCGGGTTCGTGGTTCAGGATGGTTTGGGGACAGGATGAGGTGGGACGGCGTCTGATTGACTGTCGCATGCTCTCCTGAGTTTTGCGCCGCTCCTCAGCTGCTTCTCGTGCACGGTTTTCCTGGAAGAGAGATTTCCATTACGCAACCTACACGAGAACATTGGTTGTAATGAGTCATCTGAAAAACAGATTACTTGGCTTATACTATACTATACTATACAATACAATACAATACGACTTAACAAAACCATTAAAATCACCAACACAGGTCAGAGAATAAACAGTTAAGACACAAAAGAATATAGAACACATGTTGAATTGCTTTCATAATCTAATGATTGATGCCAAAACTACAGAACGTTTTTGATAATCTATTTAGTATGTGCAACAAAAGGTACATTTAAATATAGTATAGAAGATTAAACCTTTTAAATCAAAACTTTTATATTATTGATCTACAACACAATGTCCGTCAGAAAAAAGTAAAATATTTTGGTTGAGAAAAATACTTTACAATGCCCAAATACTTAAAACCAATATATTCCCTTTTGTCATTTTCTAGTCCCGCTGACCTGTACAGCTGCGTCAAAGCGTGTACAAAATGAGTGGAAGATGGAGCAGCATTCCTGGAGTTTAAAAGTCATTGGATCCTCGCAGAAGAACTCCGCCACAGAAGCGCTCACAGAATTCAACCCTTTCAATATACGCTGCACATCGGCACACTTGGCATCAGCTCTCTGTGAAATAAAAATAGTTAAAGATACAAAACCTCTGATAATTTAGTTATGGATTATGGATATTGAACAGCCTTACAATTAGGAATGTTTCCACCTGCTCAAAGAGGTCCGGCTGTCTGCTGGCATAAAGTTTCACTTCTTTGATCTTTTTGACTTCTCGTTCAAACTCTGCCACCACCTCCTCTTTGCACATTCTAACGGACAGATAATAGCCTTGCTTAAAAGAAATTCTTGTTATAAAAATTAGTGTACTATATTGCACTACCTTGCAGCCATTTTAAGGTGTTCAAGTTGAACAGGGAATGTCAGCAGATCACGATCAATGATTTCTGCTTGCTGTGGATTAAAGTATTTTAAGGCTATGGTTTATGGCACATACCTCAATTCTATCAGTGATTTTACCTTTGCTACATAGTGCATGAGGTTCATTCCTGGTTTGTTTGCTTTAGTGTCGGCCAATTTCAGTAAAGAAGTCATCCTGAAGCCGATGGCATTTGCGCTGAATCCTCCCTGAATGTTTACAATTGTCTCAGTGCAATTTATCAAGACATGTTGGATAGACGAGCAGAGACACCCACCGCGTTCATGTAATTTCCCGCCTTCAGGACCAGCCTGATCACGGAGTGTAGGTCATCACAGTCCATCAGCTCTGAAAAGGAAGCCAGAACCGTCACTTCCAGATCATTAAACAGTTGTGTACAAATGTGGAGCTAACCATTGGCTGCATTAGTGAGCACAGTGAGACTGTTCTTCACCTCCTCCATCAGTGGAAAAAACTCCTCCCTCAGCATCATAGACTTCAGACGTTGCACATATCTCCAAAGCAAAACAAAGGCCAGTCAAATATCTAATGCAACTTTAACGGAACAACATTGTAGAGATTTTGACATGGCTTTACCCTGGCACTTTGACCAGCTGCACCATGAACTGGTCTGCCTCTGGTAACTGTGCCACGTTTCCAGAGAACAACTGCAACTGCTTTAACTGGAAAAAGTTTTGATGAAAATATTTAGAAAATACAAATTGGATTCCCAATGCAGAGTGTGATACCTCAGTGTCCTCTGGGAGCAGTTTGCAGAGCTCTTTCAGTTTTCCCGATCCAAACCTGAGCCAGTTTCCCTGACAAATGTCTTGGACAATCTCTGTTGCTGGCCTGTGAATGGATCAAGAAATTATTAACTAAAGACTAGCCAAATGAAAACCAAAAATATAATTTACAGTCTTAAAAAAGTGCCATGAAGTATTTTAACAAAGTATTTTAAGCATTGTTTGGTTCTACTAAAGATTTCCAAAACCTCACAGAGCACTGTTCTATCTGGAAATCCAAGACAAGGTAATGCATCCAAACAAACTCAAGATATGGGCTGCTTTTCTTCATCAGGGACAGGGAAGAGTGTACACATGAAAGTGTGCAAGTCTCAAGATATGAAAAGCATGGAGCAGAGGGGGTTTCAAAATATTGATTTTGCACACCACACTTTTCCAATTTGTATATACATTTTTTGCCTTCAACCTCAATTGTATATAATTTTCCGCTTTTCTAGCAAATGATAGTCACAATTTGTGTGAACGTAACAAGATAAATGAGGTATGAATACTTTTTCAATGCAGGCACTAAAAGAAACTGATCACAAGGCCTGCTCATTGGATAGACACATTATATAATTGAGTGGACCTTGTACAGCAGTGTGAAACCAGGATAACAGAAGATTACCAAAATACAGTGGGTACAGTGTATTAAACATTCTTATTCCAAGTAAAGAATCTTTATTCACTTTTCTTACCTCTTGAAATGTCTCAGGAAAATTCCCACATTCATGCTTCTTTTAGAGTCAAGAATAGTGACCTTAAACACAAGTTTGTGACCATATTAAACCATCAGGGTATGGGGACTTCTAATGACTAAACAGATTAAATAACAGAGCAAACACTTCCTCCTCTCATCAACAACTTCTGCATGTGTGCACTTCCCCAAACATCAATGATTTGTACCTGTGGCTCCTTCACCACATCAATATCAAAGGTCGTGTGCGCTCTGCGACAGGACGCTCGCATGTCCACTTGACTGAACAGCTCCTCCATGCTCTCTATGTCCAGTCTCAGCTCCCGCTCAGACTTATTCGACGTCCAGACATTTTTCTTTCCTAGGACACGCTGACTCGGAATAGTGTCCCAGTTGAGCTTTTTCATAGACTTGCGCAAGTTCAGAGAACCGAAAGGTTGAGGGGCAGTGAAAGATGGAGGAGGTGGAGGAGGTGGTGGAGGTAGAGGTGGAGGTGGAGGTGGAGGAGGAGGGTGCCCCATCTGGAGAGTGAACGAAGCTGAGGGGGGCAGTTTAGCGCCATCTCTGGGTGACGAGGACAGGAGAGGTGGTACTGTCTGGAAAATGGATTCTTGTGTTGACATGACTTCAGAGGCAGACAGCAGCAGAGTCCCCAGACAGGACACTCACACCTGGGGAACAAGTGACATTTTGGATCATATTTTATTGAGAAAAAGGTTTAAACCATACAGTTCTCTGGAACCTGCTATGGATAGTACAACTCAAATGAACAGCATTTTCAGAGATCAGCCAAATTGATGATACAAATATATATAAACAAGGGGAAAAACTGCTTTTAAAATTGTTTAGGGGAATTAAAGTAGCGAATACAATCTTTCATACTGAGACGTAGAGTAATGATTGACAAAGGGGAACTTCAGTGGACTATGAGAAGTAACCATAGACTGTATATATTAATAAGTAACATACCTGACCAATCCAAATATGATATTAGAAATAACTCTTCCAAAGAAATGATATATTAAAAAAATAAAATAAATCAGAAACAGTTTGACGAAGCTAGTTTTGTCTAATACATCAGATAACACAACCGCAGGATCAGGACAGAGTTCAGCCAAAAGCTTCAAAGTGGAAGCGCAGTGTTATTGGAGCAGATAAAGGTTTGTCAGTCCTCACCGTGAGCCTCGTTTGTCGACTCTGGTCCCGGTTCCGGTTCCGGTTCTGGGCCTGGTCTTAGTCCTGTCGCGGTACAGAACTGTTTCACATAAAGGATGAGAGCTGAGAGTAAGGTTGCTGTTCTGTCACCATCAATCACACACAGGTGCGACGCGCTCATTGACCAATCACAAGCAAGTGCTCAGATAAGACCCGCCTCCCAAAATAATACATCTTTGTTATTTATATTGAAGCTGGGGTACCTAACTTGAGTTTGTCATAAGAATACATATCATTTGTCCCGAGTAACATTTTAGTGAACAAATCAGACTATAATATCATATTAGAAAACAGGTTATATTTGGCTTACTATCAGGCCCGTCCTAAGGGCTGTGCGACCTGTGCCGTCGCACAGGGCCTCGCACCACACAGGGGCCTCGCAATCTTCCTTCCTTTTATTTTATTTTATAAATACACTAGTTCAAGGGTCCCCAAAGGGCAGACTGCACTCCAAATTTGGAACCCTAAACCCCTTTCTCTGGACCTCTTTGATTTCGTTTGATCAAAAGAACATTTTTACAAGTAAAGTCAAATTTTCACCAAAAGCGATTTGTAAACAGGCAGGCGCGCGGGCAGCTATGTATGCAACGGGTCCTCCGAAAAAACTGTCAGATAACTTTAGCAGTGTCTGAGTGAGATACAAAGAAAGTAACGGGAATGATCGCAGTGTAGGAGAGATGGATACTCGCGGAGGAGGAGCAGTGAGACAAGTGTGAGCAGAGGAGCAGACCCCTTTGTGTGAGCAGAGGAGGAGGAGGAGGATCAGCGGTGTGACAGGTGTGTGAGCGCTGCTATTGCCAATGTTTAGTCCGAATATCCACATCAAAAACATATTTTTAAAAGCATTAGCAAACACACTGTATGTCTAGCTTTAGCTAGCTGGAGTGTTTTTGTTGTGGTCAGAGTGTGTGGAGGAGGAGGTGAAGAGTATTTTGTTGTTGTCAGTGTGGAGGAGGAGGAGTGTATGTTGTCAGAGTGTGTGGAGGCATGGCAAAAACGTTATTTGATGAGAAAATAATAATATTGACTCCGCCTCATAGCCATTTTGGCGCATTTTGCCCAAATCTAACTATTAGAAGAAAAAGACTCCTTTTGGTTCAATCTTTTGAGTTGCTCTGCCATTTTGCCACAGGACGAAAGAGACATGTCAGCTAAAAAGACCGCGACCAATATTGCACGTAGAGTGTGTGTGCGTGTGTACGTGCGCGCGCCAAACGCTGCATAGGAGCGAAGACACTCGGTTACGCGCGTGCTGATCTCGTCAAGCACCGCGCGAGGTGGTGCTGAATTCATGTCAAAGATTATAACAGGAAAAACTTTCCTCAGATCTGGGAAAAAAGTGTCAGGGCAGGGCCTCGCGTTTCGAGTTCGCACAGGGCCTCGCACCCCCCTTGGGACGGGCCTGCTTACTATGTATGAAAAGTGTGAGCCACTATTCGCTGCTTTGGCTGAGAGCTGATTGGCTGATTGAGGGTGGTCCACTCCTTTTCATTTTGCTGATTTAAAGATGTGACAGGCACTAAAAGTACATGTATGGCAAAACTAGAAATCTATTTGAGAGTGAGAATCTAGTTTGATGGATTTAATTACATAATATTTTTGTAAGGTAGGTACCCAAACTTTAATAAACAGAATGATCAACAACCAAACCCTTTTTTACAGTACATTTGCTGAGATTTGGCTTGCATCTCCATTGCCTTGTGCTGGTTTTCATTTATGTTCCTTTGTTTGAACTATTCCCTATTGTGACACAAATTGTATGTCTCAATGTAGTTGAGCTATACAAGTAGTTAAGTCCAGTGACCGCACATTAGGAGTGGACTAATGTGGAAGAGGCCGATTTGAACATAAGCAAGTTGGAGCCAATTTTCTTATATGGGCTTTTTTTTCTCTGCGTAAGACGCTTGTGTTGCTAAAATGGTCGCTAAGGCAAGCTGGAGTTTCCACTGCGAATGAAGGCATCTGATCTTGATCGTTCGATGTCGGCTCTTCCTATCATTGTGAAGCAAACATCACCAAGCGTTGGATTGTTCACCCACTAATAGGGAACATGAGCTGGGTTTAGACCGTCATGAGACAGGTTAGTTTTATCCTACTGATGATGTGTTGTTGCAATAGTAATCCTGCTGGGACTGTCTCTGAGAGTCCTAGTAAATGCAGGGCCTGGGGAGTACTGGGATGGGGGACCTCTGGAAACACCAGCTGCCACAGTGGGGCGGCTGTTAAGTGTCAAGCTGACATTGTATCCTTGGGCAAGAAACTTCACCCACATTGCCTAGAATGTGTTTGGTATGTGGCACGAGTTGGAGCAAAACTTCGGCCATGAGCCCTTTCCTATTGTGTTTCATTGAGCTAGCAGGTAAGCGTTGTCCATCTGTGTACAGTCCAAGCCCTGTCCAAATAAGGACCATTTGAAGAGACAAAAAAAAAGAAAAAAAAAAAGGCACATACAAACTAGGGAACCTTTAGCAGTTATTAACTCATTGTGTCCCATTGACGCACAAATACGTCAAAGCAAATAGTAACGTCGTGTGCCATTGACGCATTAATCCGTCAATTGCCTTTTTTGCTATTTTCACGTTCCCAGATGTCTATTGTATCTAATATGTATGGGGATGACTTGAGACCATATTTTATCGAGCCAGCAGGTGGCAGCATTGCTCTCTGAATGGTTTGAAAACATGTAGGTGCACATGTTGTGCCTCTTTTTTCTCAACTTTCTGGTGATTTCTGGTGATTTCAGTAAAACTTCCCTCTACTCGACGTAGTAGTCGAGTCATATAGTCGATAGTCATAGTACACAATATTCTGTGGGTCTTGAAAAATCAGTAAAAATCATCAGAAATGGCTGGCACTGTGGGAGTACCTGTTCTGAAATAGGCTGGCATTTTAAACTCATGTCCATTATTTATCAAGACATTTGGTTGCAATGTCATTGTCAATACCTCTTATGGAAGAAAAAAAAAACACGACAACCCAACAATTTGGAAATGTGTATTTTTAATCCCTCGTTTGATGGTGTTGGAGTGAGGACTGAAGGCAGAGGATCACATAAATCTGACATTTCATTGTTAATAAAACATAAATACCACGATGTGCAGTCATTCAATACGACACCAGCCAACAAAATAGTGATTGTACATAAAATATATAAGTTAGAAATCTAGGCCCTCGCTGCACAAAGCCATGTGCGGGGAGTGTAATTAGTTAACATAAGTTTAGTTATAATTTATTCAAGAGTAGTCCTATTGCCACAGAATTATTACATCATTCACTTCTATTGCTGCAATGAGTTGATTTTAAACACCAAACACATGATTCACTGAAAAAAATAAAATAAAAAAAATACTAAGTGAAAATATTAGATAATTTTAGAATTACTCCAAAAAAACTCCAGTGGCACACAGACATGACATTTGGCCTGACCATGCAAGCTCAAAATAGAGTAATAATTGACACCTTGCGTTTGCAGCCTGCCATGCAAATTCACCGGTGATAAGAAGCTACAGGACTGGCCACAGAAGTCGATATGGTTAATGCTCCAAATGTCCGGATGTATTGTCCATTTTGATATGGTCTTTCTCACTCACACAATTGTCTGAAAACTGGAAGAAACAAATACATATATGGTCCTTTTATGATTGAATTAGCTTAGTACAAGATTTGGAACAGACTGGAGTGGCATCATGCTATCAACATGTAGCTTTGTCTGTCAAGGGAAATTGCGTTCGCGCGGCACGGTAGAAATAATGAATACAAAAATATTGATAAAGTTCAGACATGACAAAGGGCATTATGACACATAGTTTAAACAGAATTGACATTATTTCAAGTTTTCCTACAACATAAGAAATGTTAGGTCACCTATTGAACTCATCTGACGAGTTATCACGAGCAGAAGTCTCTTTGGGAAAGGTATGCAAAATAAGCACGATTGAAGCAACGATGGGAGTGATTAGGTGAACGCGCACACAAAATGCATCTTCCTTTGCTCTACACGTGACTAATTGGACAAATCCAGACTAACAAATAACCATTGTTAGATTCTAGGAAAGTCATGTATTTCATGTGACTTGGTTGTGAAAACAATGTGACTGCAGTGCTGAGTGCTGCATGTGTTCAATACATCCATGTTTTTGTCAAAACTAGGAGAGGCACACAAACCATTATTTCAACTAATAGTAAAGGTGAGTAAATAGATTTCCTACTTCTATCTTTCAACGGTTATAATCACCATTATGCCTTTTCTCATTGTATAATGTTATAATAACAGTTCTTTCTCATGTCAGGTGTACATGAACAATAAAGTCATATTTTTGATAATCTACACACAGGCCTGGGTAAAGACAAATTAAAGTTTAGGAGAAAGCTTGCGAGTACAGCTAAGAGTGAAAAGGGGACGATAGAGGCACTAACACACCCAGCCGTCCACGACTCTGTAAACTTCATCCATTCACTGAAACTACCCTGCTTCTCCACAGGTCGCACACTTGTCCAGTCCCACAACAGCTCAAGTCCTTCTTCCATCGTTTCGCCTCCTGCGTTTGCATCGTAGTGGTCCTTGTGTTTAGGGGTCCAACCGGTAATGTGTATTGGAGTGGTGGGTTGTGGGGTCACTGCTCCTCTAACCAGGAGGGTTTGTCGGAGCCTGGTGGCCGCAGTCGGATGTTGAACTGTCGAAGCGTCTGCTCCAACTGCTGCTGGTTCCCCGCGAAGTACGCTGAGATGGCATTGTGGAAGAGGAGCAGCTGCTTGTGCATCACTTTCACCTGAACAAAGGGAAGACCGGGTTTAGTTTAGTTCCACTCATCTCAGAGCCCTTTTACAATCATAGAGCCTATCTGCTATAATACAGTATGTTAGATAAAGTTCAACAACTTTAGATTAATATTCTAAACAAGACGTTTTATTTGGAGTAAAAATAAGGCTTGATGGATGGATAGACCTTTATTGTTCCCTGAGGGAAATTAATTTCCACATAGAAAGGAAAGGAGGGAATTTACATTAAACAAAAAAGATCTCACTTTGTGTGAAATTAATCTGTTGTGTATTAGTTTCACATTGTAGGATGAATCACAGGACACGTACATTGACTTTTGAAATCACGTTCATCTTATCTGTTAAAGATTCCAAAGATAATATAGATACAGATTCATAAAGTTTCATCGCAGCTTTGTTACAAAATGTGTTTTTCTGTAATTTAACCTGAAATACAGTAACTTCAGATTAATTTATGAATAGTAGAAGTTCAAATCTATCTTGATTTGGGGTAATATTAGACAGTTACAACTGGTTACAATTATCAGCACAATCTCTCTAATGCATAGTTATATGTGCTATGATAAAGACTTTCAACTCAATTCACAAAATATATATTTCTCAGACAAAAAAGCTAAATGTTTACCTTATTTTCCTCCAGGAACTTGAGTTTGATTATGACATCCGATCGAAGCCGTTCATATTTGTCTTTTTGAACCTGGTAGTGCTGCTCCGCTCCTTCGATCCGGGCCATGGTCACTGCATCTCTCGGCCCAGTGCTCAGCTCCTCTAGATCTGACCGATACGCATCAAACTCCAGTCTGGAGGTCAGAAAAATAGATTTACAAAAATGTACCTACGCTTTTGCCAATATAAATATTGAGTAGGAATAACTTACCTTGCGTTTTCAAACATCTTTATTGTCATCAAAGTGTCCTCCATTGTTTTATTAACCAGTGTGTTGATGCTGGACACAAAGAAGTTAATAGCACCCAACAACGTTTCTCCGTTCTTGCACAGCAGCTTCTGAGTCTCTGCGTTGTATCCAAACTCGTCCTGGAAACAAACGTTTAAAATAATCACATGTGAGCTTTTGTTTTTTTTAAGAACCCACCATTCTTCATAATAATTTTCCAAGCCTCACCCTGAGCTCTGGAGATTTCTGACTGAGATCGGCAAAGGTGTCCCCGAGAGCGTGCTGCGTCTGGACCATGTTGTAGAAGTGGGTTGTGAGCGCTCGGGCCAATCGCAGCACGTTTTCATATTTCCTCTTTGTGTCCCGCAAGACGTCAATTTGAGCCTCGAGTTCTAGGTCCACTGTGCGGGAGCCTCGGCCAAACCTCTCTGAGATCATCTGCTTAGTGCACTGGTGACAAAAAGGTTTATTACTTATGTATTACTGCAAAACCAATAACCAAAAAGTATTTTTAGTATTGTGAAGAAAATTTGTATGTGTGTACAAATCTAATCTGTCTGAGAATCCATCTTTGAAAAAGCTAAAATACTATAAACAAAATGAAAAGAAATGTGGAGCTATGTTACCACTACCGCCCTCTTGTGTTCAAAGTAGACCATTGCATTTGCTTAAGTATCATGGGACTCACTAAAATCTTGGTATTTCAATCCAGGGCAAATAAAAAATATGAAAACATTTTGACATGTCTTTTTATGAATTTGTGTCAGTCATCAGGTTAGAGTTAGGAACAAGTTTAATATGAAAATGTATGTCACTGTACACAAATACAACAACACTGACACAAAGATACATCCTTTATCCGTCCCACAGTGGGAAAATTTCTAAGCAATCGACGATTATGATGATTTGGAAAAATACAAATAAATACCCATGCATTCTCCCAATATGCACAAAGGGTTATATGGGTAGAGTAGCTCGCTCTGGGACGAAATACCAAGATTTTAGACAGTCCTATAATACTTTGAACACAAGAGGGTGTAGTGGTAATATAGCTCTAAGTACACTCTTTTCCGTCAGACTGTCAAAGAAGCGGGTCACAAAGTTTCAAAATGGGTTTATATACGCCGAGTGTAAACCTGAGTGAAATAAAACATAGCTCTAAAAGATTGAATCATGACAGCATGCAATCTCGGTCACTTTGAGTTATAAAAAAAAAAAAAAAATGCTGCTTTGGGAACACTTTGAGAGAACTGTAATTACACAGGCAGAGAGAATGACACACACTGTACCTTGTAAGTGTTGAGCCCCCACTTTTTCACTTGTTCAATTTTCTCCACCGCCACTCCTTTGGTCGACTCCTCCGCCGTCATGGAGGAGCTGCTGCTGCTGTGATTCATGTTGGAGCCTGGAGAGAAACGGAAGAGAAAGAGGTAAAAGTGAAATAATCATAACAAACTTGAATACACAAGAACTTGCAATTTGCGATACCCCAAGAGACAGAAATACCTTTCCACCACCTTCAAATCAGCCATTAAGAAAAGCAGTGGGAAGTAGGAGTAAAATAGCACCTATGCATACTGTGAAGGGGTATTAATAGTTCTGCTTGTACCTTGATAATGTCGGGATTGACTTAAGTGGCAGACACCAGGGGGGACACTATTTCTTCTTGCCTTCATGCGCAGATCTGTGATAGATGCCCAGATAGGAATAGGGAGATGGTTTGGGTTTTACGGGTTATTATTTATAATGTTTGGGTATTGTGGAGTTGTTACATTATCAAAAAAGGATTTGGGAATAAATTAAAACAAGCGTTTGGGAGAGGGGGGGAGAGGGTTGAAAAACACACAAAGAATGTGGAATGAACAAAACAAAGTAGACGGTTGAGGATGGGTAGGAGGGAGTGACGCAGAAGCGGAGGACAAGATGGGAAAAGAGATGAAAAGACAATGTTTAGTGCTCCGACAGTCAACAATGAAGACGGATGAAACTGAGGCATGCGTCTTCTCTGCCTGCTGCTAAAATGGTTGCAAAAAACTACACACTTTTTAATCAAATGTGCTTGGTGATCACATATTTGAACACAAGTTGTAATGGTTTAGAAATGATTCGAAGAGAAGGAACCTACTCCCAGCTAAATCAAAGGTAACAAAAAGTAATTAAAAAAAAGAAACCCCAATCATCATCCCAAACGTACCAAACATAACCCAAACAGCCCAAAGCCAACTCATGTATAGAAATACACTACAACTATAAAGTATCGAGTAAAAATCAATATTAGCCACCTATTCCTGTCACTTCAATCCTTTTATAAAACTGTTCATTGTAGCGTATGGCAGGGCCTGGGAAAGAGAGCGAAGCATATTCAAGTGGCTGCTGGGATATGATTTCCAAATACATATCTTTACAACATGCACACATTGTGAAGAGAGCGACGACAGATGCGGTTACCCTTGATGGAGCTGGTGGGGATGATGCCTTCAGCCGTGCCTCCGTATCCGCCCGATACGATACTGGTCTCATTCAGATTGGGGCCTGAAACCATCACCTGCTGCAAATCCTGAAATGATGGAAGTAAATGGATTAGTAATGAATAAATATACATGTATATAGTTGGATATACAGGGAAGGGCTACTGTGTATGAGGACAATATGAAGGTTGCATGGTTAGTCACTAGAAGCCTGACCAGCCAGAACCACACCAGTTCACAATATCAATTTAACCTCCTACACTCTCACACGTGATCGGATGCAGAGGGGTCCGGCTGGTCAGGCAATGTCACTAGAGGCAAGGGATAGACATAGGTTCTAAATCACCATAGTTTTGAAGCTATATGCAAAACAAAAACCCTACAATTTGTGCATTATAGAACCACATGTGTCCACTGTTGCTCTACATACAACTATTGCATACTACATACTATACTACCTGCACTAGAATACACAGTACGTTATACTTGCTTCTTAAAATGCCAAAAAGGTAGACATTTTTTCTTCTTTATTTTTATAAAGTCTGAAAATCTATCTTTAGCATAATGAGTACAAAATACTCATTATGCTAAAGATAGATTTTAGACTTGTTTCTACTTCATGCAAGAGTTATTGTATCATTTATCTTGTGCTGTGTGCTACTAATCCCTAATGTTCTGTAACTGGTGATGCAACACTGAAATTTCCCCACTGTGGGAGGAACAAAGGATCTCTTTCTCTTCATTTTCTCAGCTAGAATTGATGCTGCTTAAAAGAGCCCTGTGCCTAATGGTTCTGCCACCTGCGTGTCCATCCGGGGATTGATCAGTCCGTAACTTGCCTTTTTTTAGTCACAGAAATAACAAAAGTGGGACCCACCACCAGGAAAGTTACATTCAACCTATTTTTTGCGTTTTGTCTACAGAGTCACAATGAACCACTTGTTTATACAAAGTGAAATATCAAAACAGACTGGTTACTTGCTTCCAGGAAGTTTGCTTAGTATAAAGGAGGAAATATCACAAGAATGTCAGGGAGAAGTTTCCGCTTTTAACAACAAAGGACTCGGAAATGATAGAACAAATAATAAAAGTAATGGGTTCAAATGTTAGGGTTGAAAGATCAAGAACAATTGGATCAGGTTCAAACGACAAATGTATTAGTAGGAAAAGGCGGTATCATTTTGACTTTATCATTATTAGTAGTCTATAGACAATCAGATTTTTTGTCAATCTAGAGAATTTGTAAAATATTATACTATTTCAACAACATGTATTGATTCCGGGTGTGCTAAAATAGCATTTTTAGATGAATATAGATGAAAAATCAATGGGTTTCAGACACTACTTTTTTTTATCTCATATATAGAGACCCACACATTACAAAGAGAAGCATGACACTGAAACCCACCAATATTTTTTGTTAAAATGGGGCAGAGCATGAGGTAGGGAGCCAAACTGAAATACCCCTGTGTATCTAGATATGTATCTGCAGACTCTGAAAGATACTGCATGTTGATACTTACTATATATATACACTGAAATTTGTCATACCTCTAAATAACAATACCCTTTCAATGGCTGCATATTCATTTTAACATCTATGGTCCCCCCCAGTGCAGCACGCACACACACACACACACACACACACACACACACACACACAAAAGCTGGAGATGGATTAAAACAATTATGAGTTATGAGGTCTACGGACTACAGCGAGCGTTAGTGGGAGCAGAAGAGTGGTTTGCCGTGTTAAAGATGAAACCACCACAGTGACACCAACATGAAGACACACGGCCTGCTCACCCGGGGTCCTCGGCCGCTCCCTACCTGCTCCCCTAAGCTCCACTGCCGTTTAGCAGCCTGTGCAGAGATGAGGAAGGAGGGAAATCAACAAACGTGGCAACAAAATAAAAATAAAAGAAACAAGGCAACACAAAATGCAAACAAAAAAACAAAATGGCTTTCGACAAAATAAACTAAATGAGCGTCATGTCCAGCAAGATGTTTGATTTTTTTTTTTTTGGAGAATCTTTATTTCTTACTGGCTTTGAGAGCATGGGAAAGTTTTGTTGCCATAGATACAGATAGAAATAACTGATACATTTAACTGGATTGACATGACATGGCTAGTTGTGATGTGTGTGAAGAGAGGGTCTGAACAAATAGAACTTACAATGTGCCCAAAAGAGTTAGCCATAATGTTAACTCCAGCATCTGACAGTAAAGAAAACAAAGTCTACATTTGTTTGGCAGGTAATCAAATCATGAAGAAGAACAATAACGTAACATGGACTACAGACGACTTTTCCCCATTTTGATTGCCAAACGAAGGCAATACAAGTCAAAGAACGTTTACTCTGGCATTTTACAAACTGAAATGTATAAAGATGATGAAGATTTAGAGTGTGTTTCCCACAGAAGGACGTCAGGCTGCTCTGTGTGGCAGACGACCGAGTCAGGCACAGCTTTCACAGTTCAGAGAAAGTAGAGCAGTTTTATATGAAATGAGAATCAGAATCTGTTTTTTTATCTGTCTGACTGCATTAAGTTTGGTGATCGGTGACACTTGGAAACTTTCAGTATGAATAACATATTTTATTGATACTATTATGTTTTTAACATTGTGCCATGTTTTTCAGAACAAACCAAGTTAAGTTTTAAAGGTGAGGTATCAAATTTTGTCCCATATACATTGTGTGTGTACAATGGGAGCGCAATTTGAACTGAGCAGTCCACGACATGCAGTCTTATCTATTTAGAAAAACAATTAGAACATTTTGTATTAAAAATAGAGACCTATTTGACGTTTTTGTCGCAGCGTTTTTTCTTACTTTTCTGTTAAAGACTACAAAGTGATCTAAAGAGCTTTATAAAACTACATGAATGTGAAAATGAGTGATTGTACCAAACTACTTTGTGAGCAAGGTTTAATCTTAAATGGATTTCCTGACAGAGTAACAGTTCTTGTAGTGTGAAAAGCGTTAGGTCCACATTAGTCGAATGTTAACCAGTATCTGAACACTACTTTGCAATATTGTTGTTAATTATTTTCAAAGTTATACTGACTTTTTTTTTTTTTTTTTTTGAACATTATTCAAATCAGAATTGATGAAATTCAAATGAACATTGGCAAAGGCTCCCAGGCAGTACTTTTGCAGGCAGACACATTGGCAGAGAGCTTTACAGCGCTGGATGTGACTTTTTACGCCAGACTGAACACAAAGCTGATAGAAATCTGTTTTCCGAGGCTTTCGCTCAAGGACACTGCTTTGGCCAGTTTCACAGTACTTACAGCGTTACCATGACCACTGGTTAATATCCAGCCTCAAACAGGTCTCGTTTATCACAACAGCGAAGTTTGGTTTGATGCGGTGAGAGAGGGGGGGGAAGGTTGCAAAGTAAATATGAAGATTAGCAGCTGCAAATTCTTCCAGGATGTTAGCAGTGTTTGTCCAGGAAGGAGTGCCCCGAGATGCAACACTTTATAGGACCAGTCCGACTTGAACTGAAACTGTATACATCCTACTACTGATCTCTACTGTCTCTGCAGAGGCATGGGAGATTATTTATGATTACATTAGTGGTAACTCCAACCGAACACACCATATTTTTTCAATGTGAGGTTCCAGGCTCTTAATAAAACAAAAGGCCTTTGATACGGCTGCACAATAAAAGCTATTTTCATACAACTTTAATATTATTATATCATTATTACAACACACATCAATACTATTATACTAAAAGATATAGCCTTAAACGCAGAGTTAGGGCTTAACTAAAGAAAAAAAGACACTGAAAGGCAGCACAAGGTATTTTACTTTTCATCCACACAGACATTCCAAAACAGAGTTCAGGTGTTAATCTCCCATGTTTCCATTGAACAAACTGTGGGATAATCATCATATTTCTCCTCTAAAAATATGAGAATACCATTGTCTTACAAATTCCCGTGGCAACAGCTGGACTCACAAAAGCAACTCGAGCGAACACTAGCAGCACCAAAGTTATGAACACTGGGCATTTGATAAATGTAAAAACACCAAACCACCCACACGGATGAAAAGTCTGAGGTGAAGTTGAGACCAGGATAACACGACTGACCTGCTCCAAGCCGTCGTCTTCCGGCAGAGCGGCGTCTCCGTTACTGCTGATGGGAATCTCCATAGTCGCTGCTTTACTCATTATGCTTTCTGTCATAATGCAATTAATCTGAAAACACACAGTGGGAATACTGAGTCAGGACACAACAATCAAAACACCTTGATTTGTTGCTATTTGATAAATAAAATTGATGAATATTTTTATTCCACCGAGACTATTATCCCAGTTTAAGAAAGCTGACAGGTGCTTGGGAGGGGAAATAAATCTGCCTAATCATAGTTTCATCAATATTATTAAAATCTATTCTAAGTTATTAACAAACATAGAAAAAACTAGGGCTGCAAGATAAAAATCATAATCACAATTTTACTAGAGGCAATTTGCACATTGTAAGGACAAAGCAATGAATTTCTTTACAAGTGAGTTGTTATAGAGAAGTATCTCAGTACATCCTCTTCTTGGACTTATGCACATTTGACCTTAAACCAACCAAGAAATAATTGCCTGTCTTTTCTGAAATGTATGATAATTCAATAGTTTGAAAGTTCATATTGCATTCTTCCCCAACATATAGATGTTCCTAGAGTGGTTTATCCATAACGAAGAAAAGATTCAAAACAAGAAAAAGGCACAAATAATGGTAACCACAAGGCTTGTCAGAATTATCGCAATTAGATATTATGCCAACATTTGTGGGTTGCCCTTCAAATAACTCCAATAGTTTCTACTGACTGAGACTAAATTAAATCAGACATTGATGCTTAGAACTGAGCATATGGCTGAGTGAATATAGATCTATGCAGCCACATCTGAGAGAAAATTTATTTATGTTGTTCTGTTCAACAAAGAGCTTCACAAGTACATCCATACCATTAGAAACTTCAATGTTGATGCAAAACCGTGAAGTTGTGAAACTGATTTGTTCTTTAGATTTGAACTAATGCCTTCTGATTAAATGCATTCGTTTGAGGGCAGGTCATTTCCAATATTTGCGTATTTCCTTCCTCAGGCTTGAATGACAGTAATTAAGGACTCGGGAGTAATTAAAAATAATGTAATAACTATAATAAGGATGTTCAGCTGCTTCGAAGATCCAAAGCAGGTGCAGTGCTAATCATGAGGCAGATTTCAAAGGGCGCCAACTCAGCAAAAATAGCACCTAAACAAACACTGCTCTAGAACAACGTTTCACTCATCTCTGCAGCCCAAAAACAAAGATAAATTTAAGAGCAGCCGTACAAGGACATCTCAGAGCTGTGGGAATCGTCTCAACAGCTGTTCTGCCAGTTTGTCTGTTCAATGCTGTTAAAATATCATACAAATGTGCCTTCATGAAAGTCTTCCGTTTGTCCTTGGGGCATTCGCTCTCTACTTGCTGTGCTGAACTCCCTAACGGACTATGGCAACGGAAGCAATACACATATTGTTTTGCGGCACTTGATGCTACTCTCATAATTGTAATGATCTTTTTACTTATCGTTCCTTTTTGTTGGAGAACTTTGTTTGGCTCTTGTCTTTGTTTTACAAGGATATACTGCAATTGTGCATAACCTGGATTGATTGGAAAACGCATATTTCTGTTAACAAGTAACATAATCAAATCTACAATGGTGAAGCAAATTGTGGAAAATTATGAAATTCCGAGACATTAGTGATTGCTGCATGTGCTCTTTGAGTGACTGAAGGTTAAAACATAAAGGGAGCTGTGAACTGAACAATAGCAGTAGAAACTTAAACAAAGACTTGTATTATTTACATTTCCTTATTTACAAAAGGCCCTGCCACTATCAAAACGTGGCCAGGCCCTATCCCCCCCCTCTAAAGAATGTAATCGTCACCTGGACAAAGTCTTAAGCATAGAAACTCCAAAAATCCCCTTTATACTGAAAACTTGGTTCAGATTATTATTATTATTATTATTATCCTGCCTCACTCTTGTATTGAGGGACTACACAGCTTTGACACATGCATAAATAATGCAGCAATTTACCTAATGTTTTACCATGAAACACAACATATCCTATTTAGACAGAAACACATCTGCACAAACACAAAAGGAGCTTTTTCTATTTTCCAGGGTTAAATATTATTACAGCCACTTCTCTTATCTACATTCGCACTATGCCCTGGTTCATATCGAGTGTGAGGGTAACCAAAAGCATTGCAGATTTATATTTTTAACAAATATAAACATTGTATAGTTAGATCTATATTGTCACGTAGGTTAAAACTGCCCTCTCTCCTCTTCCTAATGTGACTCCAGAGCAGGTGCAGCTACACAGGTGCGTGACTCCATCTCATAAGTCAAGTCTTTGCCCCCAATGCAGAGAAAACAGCACACCGAGCTAAACAACATGCATCATTATTTGGATGCATTAATCAATAAAATCTGATCTGAGGCAAAGGAGATTATTTACATCTACATCACGGGCCTGATCCACACAGCAGCTGTTAGAAAGAAACCACTATTCTCAGAACAACGATAAAGCTTATGACACTTCTGCATATTCAGATGGACTTAATAATAATAAAAACCCATTTAAAAGGCGGTGTAGGTATTAAGTAGGAACATTTCAACGCGCTCACCGGTGTTTGGTCCAGTCGTGAGGCTCTCGGGAGGCTAGCAAACAAGCTAATGAGCTAGCAGAGGAGCATCCCTGTTCGGTTAAGACTGACGCGGCTCCTGGGGCTACACTTTAAACCCAGATGGTGTCAAACAACACGGGTTACTTCTCTATTCAAGCCCGTTTATAAAAGGTGTCGCTCTGTGTTTTATAAACTAGATCTTCACACTCTCAGTAAATAATCCAATCTGCCTAAGGAACTGACGAAACGGAGGAATGCATTTTGGAGGCGCACATTGACAGGCGATCGTGAAGAGAACAGGAAGACTCACTCTGTAACGCATTTTGTATCTCCAATCCACACAATTTAATGTAATTTATACACAGTTTATATTTTGATAATACTTAATAAATATCAAATTGAAATAATTCCATAAAATGAAAAATATTTATATTCGTTAGATGCAGCGCATGCGGAAAATGCAGACATAGTGAGAGGTCTTTACGCTGTTTTTTTTTTCGGATCAGACCCGTCTTTGATTTACAAAAACATGAAAAAATCAGGATCCTCCATGGCGCACGCTTAAATAAATTGTCTAAAATAATTCAATTGAGCAAATTGTCTTAAAATATCGTATTAGTGTTGTGGTTCAAAACAAGACTTTAACAGGTAAACAGAGTAGATGCCTGGTCCACCTCTGGCCTCTAGCGGTGAGTCATGAGAGGCTACCGGGGTTTTCTATCAGAAGAAAAACACTCTGAGCTTCTGAGAAAAGTAACAAATATCTTTCAATAAAATGTTGACATCTATTGAATGCATTGCTCTCGGTTTTCTATATAAAACATTTGTGCAGACAAGCATACAGTCTATTGTCAAAACTCTATGGTCCACTTAACATTTTTAGAGAACATGTCAAGGTGAGCAAAAGAAGATTAATCTCTATCTTAGTAGACAATACATATATGTTATGTTTGATACTCTATTCTGCTGTTGTGTGGGTTTGCATGTCATGATTTTTATGGGATAGTTTGTAGAGTTTGTCACTGACCACTAACGTGAGTTAGAGTACCTAAGAGAAGCCAGTTACTGGAAGCTGGAATCACTTTTATTGCAGCTCTATAATTGAGAGTGAGACATGGTTTTCCCTTAGGTAAATTAACTTGATACTGTTTGATGTGAGAGGTTTATAAGAGTTAAAAGATATCCAAAATATAGAAATCAACAAAAGTATAGGTATATTGATCAAGCCTTAAGGATGATGACAGGGCCCAATTAAATATGAATAAACATAAATACTATAATTAGTTAAACTATCAACAACATAGGCCTATTGTCTGAATGTATCTTACCGTGATTTGCCCTCAGATGCCTTTTCACAGACCTGAGATCAGCGCAAAAGCACTGCAAGCACCTCCAGAGACTCGTACTTTTGGATGCAGCTGTGGTACTGAGGAACCGAACATTTCATCTGTTCTGCATCAGTCCAAACTGCAGCAATGGCCAGAGCTGCAGCAGTGAGCAGTTAACATTAAGGTAAACATCACAGATCATTGATGCTGGAGTTTTCCTCTTCCTTTCCAGAGCGTCTCTTTGCTGTGTTAGGAAACACTTTGTGTTGTTGAGTGGTGATGTCAGAGTTTCTTTTGGCACATTAACTACACAAATATAAGCTACCTGAACAAAGGACAATCCAAAACAAGACATGTAGAGAGCAGTTATTTTTATTTTTAGTGTGTGTTCTATTCACAGTAAATTGTGACTATACAAACCAAAAAGAACAATTTCATGTTATGTTTGTTGCAGTCAACATAATTAAAGTACTACATTTATCTATTAATTAAACCGTTTGTGGTTGTTAAGAACAACTACCACAGTTACATCCTGAGTTGCTTGTGGCTATAACATGATATTCACCAATATTCACAATACATCCCCATGAATAATGTGTCTGATCAGAGAACAAATGTGCACATGAACTTCTGAACAGGTTTTAGAATAAAGAGTGGGTTTTCCTTTGGTGCCAGCTTTGTTGTTTTCTTCAAGATTTATGGTATATTCTGTGTCTCAGACTGTAATTCAACCATAGACTGTAAGTAACGTTCAAAATCAAACCCCATTCAAGTTTGAACAATCTCTCCAGGCGCTGTCCGGTGGAAGTGTGGAGGACTCGGTGCCTGCAGATGTTGTTAATCTAATAAGAGCAGGGATCCAAATGACTTTGCTTTCATTGAACGTTTTAGGCTTTGTGAACAGTGACAGGTTAGGTCATGCAATATTGAAACATATAAACATTAGATTTAACAGGGCACAGAATATTATCTATAGAAAAATAAAGCAACAACAAACACACAGTAAAGATGGCTGATTAAAGCAAATTAAACAAATTCCAATATTTCTTCCTGTTTGTTTCTATGTTTTATATTGGTCTGATCTTGGGCTGAGGTACCTCACTTTCAAAACACAAAAATAAAAACCGTCCCTCGCTATCAAAACAATTGGATCTCTACTTTCCTCATACATGTATTTTGGGCCTCTGTCATATCTCTCGGCTTTTTTAAAGACATTCCCACCATCACTCAGCCAATCAGCTCTCTGCGTCACAGAAAATTACTCACAGGGCTCTTTCTTACAAGTATGAAAAAGATAACGTTTTACAAGACTTTTTATCTGTTGGGACAAAGACAATGAACAATTTGTCTGTTTATTTTATATTTGATCTATGTTGAAACATTTCAATGATCTCCATGTGACCCTTAGAAGTAACAACACAGATGAAAAGAGGCATCTGAGAAAAGTCTCACAGATGACCACCTGAGGGCGCTGTCAGAAAAGGAAAAAGTAAAGACAAGGTGCAGCGGAGTGAACAAATGGATGTATTATGTTATGTGCTTTTCAGCAGAGGTGTGGACTCGAGTCATGTGACTTGGACTCGAGTCAGACTCGAGTCATGATTTTGATGACTTTAGACTCGACTTGACCAAATATAAAAAGACTTGCAACTCGACTTGGACTTTAACATCAATGACTCTGACTTTCACTTGGACTTGCGCCAATTGACTTGTAAAGACTTGCGTAACCCGGGCCATTTTTACCTTTCTCCGCATCTCTCTTTCTATCTATGCCGTCTCTGAAGAAACAAAGCCTCGCGGTAGTTGTAGCGCTCGCGAGAGAGTTCGAACGTGAGTTCCCCGCAGTTCGCGCAGCAACACTTCCCTAAACAAGCGCACTGCATTCACCGGTGGGTGTGTTGTCTAGGGGAGCTGGAAATGAGCGAGCTGCAGGTATTTATCGCGACCTAACGTCATACTTTGTTCTACAAACCGTAATTGATATGCTTTCACTACAGGCGCCTCATACAATTGAATCGACGCAGTTGTCACACTGTGTGCCGTGTTTTAAAGAGGAACTGGTGAGTCAAACTAGCGCTAGCCTGCGCTGCTCTGTTGGCTCTTTCTTATATTTTTCTGTGTGGGCGCCGAGGCCTATTATTATGAGTATGTTTTTGCTGTGCTCCTCCTGCTAAAGTTTGCATACATTAGATAGTTGTTTTGATTATGTGCACTAAGCTAGATTAATATTTGCACTATTGTTTATGGTGCATTTATAAGAGAATCAGTGCTTTGACTGATTGAATTAATTTATATGAGACATTTTATTATGTAATGATATATTGGTAATTATGAGATATTGCTAATGCTGGTCCAGTTGATGGCGAGCTGCCCCAGGTCCAAAGCCTAGACCCCCCTCATACTACCCCTATTCTACAGTAGGACATTTGGAACAATAACCACTACGGACATTAAACTGATTATATAGATACAGGTCCTAGCCCAATACTCATATTCATATATGCTGCACTTGCTACTTCCCATTAAAAACCCCAAAGATAAAAAGTATGTTGACACGGACTGCTCTGATTTTATGTGTGGTCTGTGCATGTGTAACTGAGCCTGCATCTGGCACAACATAGTTTTGATTTACCAGCAGCCAACGACATGGAACAAACTGTTAGTCCATGGGTCAGAGACCAACGAGAATGCACCAGCAAAACGATTCCTAAGTACGTGGAGACCAACAAGAAACAAATCGCGGTCAAAAAGACTCGAGAGGACTCGAAAGTCAAACCGTAGGACTTGGGACTGACTTGAGATTTGTTGGCCTTTGACTTGGACTCGACTCGGGACTTGCCTGTCTTGACTCGTGACTTGACTCGGGACTTGAGGGCAATGAATTGAGACTGACTTGTGACTTGCTAAACAATGACTTTGTCCCACCTCTGCTTTTCAGACTGGTACTATCACTGGTGACTTGGTCAAGCAATTATTAAAGATTTTGCAGCACATTCACAGTGATGCATAATTTCATTACATGTCAGATTATTTTTTAGGGTAAAGTACATTTTATTGCCATAATTTGTCCTCTGAATAGCAATTCTTCAACGCCTTTATAACCTCTCAGGGGGAATAGGAGCCATATCTATCCTGAGCTGGTCTTGGTTATATGAAATAAATCCTCCCATTCCAGGAATCAAACCTGCAACCTCGCTGCAGGTGTGGGATGAACTGATTTTTTAGTGAACAAAATTTTACATGATCAATACAATACTGTGGACAGATTATATAATATTATTATCCGGTGTTTAATATTTTTTATATACAGGCAGATTTTTGACCTTTTCCCCATACACCAAGATACAGAGCAAGTGAATTTAGATTGATTTAGCCTAATCAATAAACAATATCTTAAATGATGAAGGTACCGGGTTAAGCATGTCTAAAGAAATGAAGTTATCACAGACAAAGACACTTACTGCCCTGAATTCCCCCAAAATGAAACAAATATCTAAAACATGAACTGAAATATTTGGCAAGACAAAGTAGAGCAACTCAATACAAGAAAATGGTTTTACAAGCAGTCTAAAGATATGCCTGCTCATAGTCTGTGGTCACAATCACTGTCAAAGTCCAAGATGCATTGAGTAACACATGTTATATGCCAAGAATGTTTCTGTTTACAGAGAAACAACACAATATCATGTGCACTTTTGGATTTGCGTCATGGGAAAGGCCCAAAAGGGTCCAAATTACATTTTTCTAACCACTGACAGCGTGACTTTCTGTGTTCACCAAACACTATGATACTCAGATCCCCTACACCTCCTCAGACAGCCACAATGTACTGCCTGATCTGACCTGGAGTGGATTTCTACATTTTAGAAGAGACACTGGCCAGCTGTATGAACAAAAAAACAAAAATATTCCACAAACGCCTCATCACTCTCTCCACACCACGCCTACTTTTATTACAGTAGTGCATTAGAGCGTGTATAGGTGAACTGGGGGTGTAGGTGTAGACATGGATCCACAATCCTGTATGGCAGTCGAACCAGTTTCACCCCAGCGACCACCTACGAAAATATAGACTCATAATGTTTATCATAATTATTAATATAAATCTACATAGTAATATCTAGTATAATTTACAATGTTTTAACAAATTGCTTTATTCATAGCTCTGAATGGCACTGTGGTGCAGCAGTTAGCGCTTGTGTTTGACAGCAAGAAGGTCCTGAGTTCAATTTCATCTCCAGACCTTCCAGAGTTTGCATGTTCTCGCTGTGTCTGTGTAGGTTCCTCCAGGTGCTCCAGTTTCCCCTACCACTGAGTCAATGGATGGTGTTGATTGGGGGCTTTGATGAGCCAGTGTGATCGTGTGTGGAGAGAATGGAAAAATATCGGAACTCTGAACATTGTAATGCGCTTTCTTTGGGTGACCTTTGTCTGTAAAATGCGCTATATAGATAAACAATAAACTTACTTACTGGAACTGCTGAGTAGGTTGCAGCTCATGCAACCTACTGCAATCAGCATGTTCTCCCTGTGTTTGTGTAGGTTTCCTCCGGGTACTCCGGTTTCCTGTACCACTAAAAACATGTAAAATAGTTCTGGCATGCGCCTCCTGAACTGGCGACCCCGCTCCCATCTCTGTGTGGAGTGAGAGACAAATGCCCACAATTGTAAACTGCTTTGTGACTCTGCTCTGTGAAATACATAACATTTAATATTTTTTTTATTTGTGGGCGCCTTTCAAAATTCCCAAGGTCACCTTACAGGCAGCATAAAAACAGTTTATAACACACATTAAAAATACAATACAATACAAGGCCCAGAATCAAAATACAGTGTGGAGTGCCAAAAGATCTATAGAAGGATATAAGAAATATGGAGGATTATGTGGGATAGGCACATCCGAATAGCTTTTGTTTTGATGGTGATGGACACTATTGCACGAGTGTCTTGTGAGAGATGATTCCAGAGTTTGGGGGCAGAGCGGCTGAAGGCTCTGAGGCCCATGGTGGACATTTTGGCTGGAGGGACAGAGAGCAGAGAGGCAGAGGAGGAGCGGAGTGGGCGGGAGGGTGTGCATGTCTGAAGGAGATCTGACAGGTTAGGGTTATGAAGTGCTTTG